TTAAGTCTACTCAGCTGCAAGAACAATGCATGCCCATTGTTTAAAAGTCAATTAAGAAGCTAAGGAGTGCAGGGATGCATACCTGTAATCCCAGGGACTCAGGAGGCTAAGGCAGGAGGACTGCAAGTTCAAAGCCAGCCTCAGCAACTTAGCAAGACCCTAGGTAATTTATCGAGAATCTATCTCAAATAAAATAAAATGGCTGGGGATGTAGCTTAGTGTTTGAGTATCCCTGGGTTCAATTTCTGGTACCAAAAATAAATAAATAAAGAAAGAAAGAAACAAGAGTGAAACATCAAGTGATTCTTGTGAACCTGCTCATATCTCATGACAATAAAATGCTTCCTGATCAAAAACTCAGCTAGAAACTCCCTATGCTAAGGACAAGAACTCAAGCATTCATTACATATAAAGATAAAAGCTCAAATCACTTGTACTATGTGCAAGATGAAATAAGCAAGCTTGACACTCTAGCTTTTCAATTCATACAGATTTTCATTTTGTTTATTTCTTGGAGCATTGTTCACACCTTCTCTAGCACAGAAAAAAGTGACTGAAAACATACCAAAGAAGAAAATGGTGAACTTCTTGTTGAAATATTTAGATTTTTCCAATAGAGGAAAGAAACTCTAAAAGACAGTCTTTACTCCTTAAGAATAATACCCAAGGGAACATAAGAATGAAATAATATGTATAATAAAAGTAATTGTTTATTATATTCATAACACTAAAAAAAGAAAGAAGTAAAATACATGTGATTCCGCACATAGATTCCCAATGGTTAAGTCTTATTGAGGATGGTTATCATATATGTGCCCAGATAAATCTTTGATCCTACTAGTACTGAAGATGACCATTACCTCGCCAAATAATTTCCTTAACAAACTATGGGAGAAGCAAGAGTAAAACTATGTGGTTTTCATAAGTTTTCCACTAATTTTATTTGATGATCAGTGTACATGTTTTTTAATACTTCAAACTCTTCTAAATATATATATCAAGTGAACCACCTCTTGAGAACGAAACATTTTTAAAACATCAGAAAGGTTTTCTATCTCATCTTCAGATGGAAAGAAATTAGTACTATGGCTGTCAGTCCTGGCTTTATCTCTTTAGAACCTCAGTAGATTGAGTTATTTGATTTTATTTTTAACTTTGAGATGGGGGTCTCTCTGAGTTGCTTCCAGTTCTAACAAGTCTCTTCCAGTTCTAACAGTGATTTCACAACTTGCCTGGGTACATTGATATATTTGAAAATATTCAAGAAAATCTTGGATCATATTGAAGAAAAGTTGTCATTGTATTCATATGGAAATACAGAACAAAACTTACCAACAGTTGCTGCTCATTACAGCTGATATGCTATAAATGGTTGTTGACATTGAGACCAGATGTCATGGAAAATCCTGCATCATTAGGAAGCAATGGGGTGGGGAAGGAACCTATGTGTGAGAATGTCAGTAGAATCTATTAAAAAAAAAAAAAAAACAACCCAAAAGCAATCGCATTGTAAGAATTTAGAGCTAATCTCAATAAATAAAGACTAATATAATAGATTCATTAAATATTAAATGTCCTACAATTGAAATGGCCAGCTGCCCTGGACCATCATAGCTCATCACTAATGTGTATGGTATCCCTACAGAGGACAAAGGTCCTGTGATATGAAACCACAGATTCCATCATTCCATAGACACTTATGAGGCATAATTTAGTAGCTTTATAATATTTATTTAAGATATAAAGTAGCTAGTTAGCTAGCTCCAAGAGTCTGTCAATTAGGACCAGCACATGAGCCCAGACTTTTCACATTTCTTTTTAGTTACCATGCTCCCCATTTCTGTCATCTTACTGTGCCCCATGGAAAACTGTCATTCACTGAAAGAACTTGCTTTCTAATCTCACCTGTCTCATTCATTATAGAAGATAAACATAGTGGCATAGTAGCAAATAAACATCCTTTCTAAGGAGGCAGCCACTTATTAGCTGAGAGAGTCTACTCTTACCCACTTGGTGAAATATAACCATCAATTATTTTCCTTTTTGTAGGCATTCAGAATTTGAACTAACCTACTTGGCAATGAACTTTTTGTCATACAGTATATTTTCAAGGAGGGTACATAAGTGGTAGTGATTCAAAAAAGTCAGAGTAAATGTACCTGTCCTACTTCAAATGTTCTTTAGAAATTCCACACCCTCACAGAACACAATAACAGGATTATTCAAACACATTATATACAAAGAGTTATTTAGAAACCAAATTTGTATAATTTCCTTTTATTCTTTTGCTTTTTTGGTGGTACTGGGGATTGAACCTAGTAGTGCTTTACCACTGAACTACCTACCCCTTTTTCATTTTATTTTTAATTTTGAGATGGGGGGGGGTCTCTCTAAGTTGCTGAGTCAGGCCTGAAGTTGTGTGATATTTTCAGCATTTCACTGAAACTGACTATTTAAAGCARTCTTCTGATTAAAATATTCGAAAGCAAATAATCCTTTAATTAATTCAATAATCCTTGTAATTTTTTCAGCTTACAATCCACAATTCTGTATTTTAGGTTTGCCTAGAAGATATACATAAATGTGAAGCTAGTCAATGCTACTGATTTTTAAATACATATACAATCCCCTTGAAATAGCCCTGCCTTTTCCTATCCATAACTGCAGCTGAACAGTCTCCATGGGTATAGGGTGAAATACCGATCCAGATGGATTTATTATTTTCCTGGATGACCCCACAGTCAAGTATTCTAGGTATCTCTAATTATGGATATTTTTCCCAGTCATTCAGTGGTCCTTCATGATAAAACTCAAGGAGTTCCATTTCTTCTGAATTGGCAGAGAGTTGGTATTTGAAGGCACAGTGCACACAGCACTGTCCAGAAGCTTTCTGATTTAGTGATAAGAGTAAAAACATATTAAATTTCTTAAAAAGTTTATTTGCTAATGTTATTGGCATTTGCTCAACAAGCTTCAAAACCATTTGACTTAAAAGTTCTACAATGGCTGTAATTTCTTAAGTGATTGGAACTCTTCCCTTGAATGAGTCTGTGCTTGACAAATTAGGGTCAGATATGTGTTAGCAACCCTCTCTGACAGCTCAATGCTTTTGAATGTGAAGGTCAAAACTGAGATAGACTCAATCATTGCTTACCATTGATGGGGTTTGTCTAGGTTACTTATTCCATAAATTAAAAGTTGGACATTGTATCTTAATTAAATTAGAAAATGTATGAATGTAGTGGACCAGAAATTTTAGTTGTGAAAGCAAAATGTCAGATGTGACTATTTTAACAAGAATACATACTTCTGTATACTGATAAATAACCAGAGTTCCAAATCATTTCAAATGTTAGGTTGAAAACATCCTTATCCTAAAATCTAAACTAAATTATTTACATAGTGTTAAGGTAGTTCAAAATCCTATCAGCCCTAAAAAGTTACAAAGGTTTCCTCATATTTACAAATTATCATGATAGTGATGAATCTGATGGCAGTGAGCAGCAATAGCCTTAATTCTGGTAACTCAATTAAAACTTATTTTCCCACACTCCAATTTCTTATAGATTTAACCTAATTTCTTCCAAGTTCTGGTTATGGGTTTTTTTTTTTTTTTGCTATTTTGCATGGCTGGCTTAATTAATAAATTAAACAATTATTTGGGCTGTGTTTACACAAGGTCAAAACAACTAACAGAACTGACTAATTCAGTAAGAAGAAAGTAGCCAATTTGGTGGAAAAAAAATCTGGAATTGCTTATTTGTCAACATATAAACAAAATCAGCTTGATGGACTAAATTTTTAGATTTTCAAACAATAGTTTTGGCACTTGTAGTGTCCATTGTTTCCCAATATTTTTCAGTCTGAGACACAGATTCCAAATTTGCTGGTTCTTATTGCCAAGTAGGAAGACTTTGATTCACTTTCCCATATGTATACCAGTACCATATGTTCACCCAGATAACTGGACTGCATAGACTTTGCTATATATATTAACCAGCCTCCTTTTCCTAGCCATCTAATCCCTTCATTTCTTAAAATTTACAAAGGGGTTCCAGGGAAATGGAAGATGTTGTCATGGTGCTTATTTTGAAAGTACCAATGTGTCTGGATGCACTGATTGGGAAACAATGGTGTAGACGCAGCCTCCTTCCAAGACTTGAGTTATTCGTCCTGGAGTAATGATAAATTACCCAGAAAATAAAATGGATCTTTCCCACCATATTTTGAGATGGGAGCATACATATATAAGCAATGTTTTGAGTCACACTTTGAAGAAATGTAAATTCTGTTTTAAAAAACTGGCTTATAAAGAAGAAAAAGCTGACTATAACATTTGGCAAATAGCAGTATATTCTTTCTGCCTTTAAGAATAAACAGATTCTTAAAGACAGCATTTTTTTTTTAATACGTAATTCAGAGTTAAGCTCCAAAATTTGTACAGAAATTGTTTGGAAACATTGAGGAATCAAAATCACTACATTTGGGTCCAAACTCTTAAAGTCAACTAGGATTTAATTTGCACAGTTTCATTTGCCAAATGTCTGTAGATTGGTCCAATTCTTGTTATCATTTTGCCAAGTTTCCTTCTGCTGAAAATGTCTGTGCTCTGTTAGGCTTCTAAGTCAATGTCTGTGGCCAAGTCTGCAACTGGTCCTTGGAAACATGTGAGCAGGTCAAGACAGGTGTTCTCATTTATTTGATCTCTCCCCTCTGTACAGTACTCTACAAAACATTTATGCATCTGTCTAAAGCCTGCACACATGATTATTTTTAATCATTTTTCTAACCATGTTTTCCCTGGGATTTAGGAATGACAGTCTCCAGGAGAGATGACAATGCATGACTTTTTTTTTTTTTCTCCCCTAATCTAGTAAAAATGTTGTTAGTTTTGTATAGTCACTTAAAATAGGTTCTCACTTCAGTCTCTCTCTCTCTCTCTCTCTCTCCCTCTCTCTCTCTCTCTCTCTCTCTCTCTCTCTCTTTCCTTCTAAATAAAGCCTGAGAATTTGCTTTTAGCTAGCAAATCCAAGGGAGCAGCTGTGAAACTGGCAGACTTTGGCTTAGCCATTGAAGTTCAAGGAGACCAGCAGGCATGGTTTGGTAAGTAGGGCCCCTCTCCTTCATGCTACCTACAATCTTTTGGATATGAACTCCTGGCTCCTACTCCCATTTCCTAGCCAAAATAAAGTGGAAATGTTCATCTTGACTACTCTTAAGATATTGGACCCCAAGATAGTAAACCTAACATTAAAAGGTATGTAACCTAGAAATAGTTAAGGAAAAATACTGAAGGGAGAACAGTAACACATATACCTTTTTCTTCAAAGGACGGAGAGAAAATACAATCCTGTGCTAAGAATTAATAGGAGTGTTATCATTTAAAAGAATACTTTTTCTGAAAGAAAGATCATCATTCACATTCATCCTCACATGATGCTAAAGACTGCTATGTAAATAGTAGGTAGTCAGAAAAGACAAACTATCTCATGTATTTTATTAGGGAATTAACTTTAAAATGTTACATCCTATAATTATATGTGTATTTACTAAGTATTTCATCTCAGTTGTCTCCTATTTTGTTAATATGCCAATTTTCTCATGATAAATCTGATAATTTAAAAATTTCTAAATGGTGAAAATTCTGTTTCTATGTAGAGGTAGAAAGCTCTGAAACCTTTCCTCAGACATCTTAGGAATCATAACCAGCACTCCTCTAAGAGAAAACATAACAGATTATTTAATCAAAGTTTTACATGATATGAAATAAAGACCTAAAGACTTGGAGAAAACATTCTATTTTTTTGCTAGGTTTGATTTTAAAAAAATACAGATATGTAGAAATGACATATCCAAAGAAGACATGACCTGGTGGTAATATGTTCAGAGGGGAGCCCACCATGGCCTGTCTTTCTGAATTCTTCTTGGCTTCTCTGTGCCTTCCTGGGTACAGGGCAGGGCAGGACCTGCTGGAATGAGGGTCTTGTGATCAGCTACCAGACAATATAGGTCAGAGGATTTCCTTGTGCCCAACTCTCACATCGAAGGTTAGAGGAAGCTTGGAGTATTATTTCTAGTTTTTATGGCTGGCTGAAAGGGGGTTCACGTATTTGTAACCTACCTTTGGCAAGAAGAAGTATAGTTTCCATGGCTAAACTTGGAGGAGGAAAACAGAAGGACAAAGGGCAGGAAGATCTTACTTTTGAGCCCCTTTCCTTCATTTCAAAGTGCTCAGCATGCCAGGGATACTGTATCCTAAGCTCCAGCATTTACAATTAGGGAAGAAATCAACTCTAAATAAATTTACATTATAGTATTTCTAGCCAAACTTATGGATTATCCCAATATTCAGCTGGAATAAATTCTTTATCCATTGATTTTCTTACGCCTCTCTCTACCATTTCCCAGTATTACCTGATAGTTCATGTAGAATTTTAAAATATAACCTTTCCCTAAGCCTCAGTTTTATTTCTTTTTGATTTTTAATGTGTTGAAGTTAGACAATTTTTTAATGCCTTTACTTCAGATTTTTTTTCCTCTGAATAACAATAACAACAAACAGAAAGAGGGCCCCCCAAATACTTACTTCTTTAATGTGCAAATGCTTCTCTGTATCCCTATCATGCAGCATCTCCTAAGGTATACATAGCTCCCAGGATCCCCTGGATCTTTCTAATCTGCCCCAGCTAGTTGATGGAAGCAGGTGACCTGGCAGCCTTCCCACATCTCCTTTTCCAGGAACCTAATTCAAGACCTTATTTTCTGCTGCTTGTCCTTTGTCAGGAGTTCTGACTGTTATCCTGATGGCAATCTCTCCCAAGCTTAATGCCACCTTTTACAAGTGTCTCCATACCACAATTCCGCTCCCAGTGGATTTAAAACCTTCAGACTTGTCATTTGGTCTGTCACGTCTTGACATTGGAATAAGCTTGTCCTTGTTAACTGCAAACTGAAAGAAGGCAAGACCTAGATTTAATTCTGGAAATTGGAAATGCAGATATATAGCTATATTCTGGGGGAAAGTATGGTCGACATAGATAAGGAATATACAGTAATAAGAGTTAGGGGTTCAACAGGAAGTAGTGAGCTATCACAGAGATGGGCAAGGCAAAATTACTAGAGGTACTTAAATAAAAGGCCCTGACTCTCAAGGAGATGAGGCTTTTGTGCCAATAATAATTTACCACGCAGGGAGAAAGTAACTCACCACAAGCATCCAAGAGGTGCCCTGGGAACACGGGTGAGGAAGTATGAAATTCCACCTCTGGGGAAAGCACTAATAATTGGGCTAACAACTATGATTCTGTCCAAGATAAATGGGAAATTTGTCCATTGGAGCATGGGAGATAAAGGCATTACAGATGGGGGACCAGCATATGCAAATGCTTGGAGGACATGAAACTATTTTTCTGTTACATTGATAAAAAGAAGTTTGATTCAGCTAGGATGAGGGGTAGTTTATAATAAGGTGAGTGATTTTTTTTTTTTTTTGTGGGGGAGGTCCCTTTCAAAGGTTTGATTTTTTAAAAAAACTTAGAGGCTTCAGGGATCTGGTGAGAAATTTTTAATAAAGAAGAATGTAATTGAATTTAAGTTATATAATAGTGATTTAGGTAGCAGTGTGGAGGATGGTTAAGGATAGTTAATCTGAAAGCAAAGACTTTATTAGACTAAAGCAGTCATTCAAATTATGTATGCTGCAGTTTGAACTAGGGTGGATATAGGACCAGGCAAATTCCCTGGAACAGACAGGGACTCTGAACTTTAGGAGAATCTGTTTAGAAGAAATGAAAGTCCCAGATATTGGGTTCAAAGACAGGATTCTAATCCTGTCTAGAGCAAAAGAGGAGCCCACTTCATGAGAGACTTGTATGAGGCAGGATACCAAAATAGGAACTTAGGCCCAGGGATATAATCACTGGGACTGGGTGCAGGGTGATGATGATTGGATACCAGGAATAACACAGAGGCATTTGTTATCATCAGCGCTGAGGCACAACATGAACCCCAGCAATGCTGGCTTGATGACAAGAGTGTAGGAATTGTGTTCCCTAAATCTCTGTGTTTTGTGTCCTCTGCTAGATCACATGTAGTTTAAGAGGACTTGGGGAGGTGGGGGATCTACTTTTTGAATCAGAATACCTGAACTTACATCCCAGCTCTGGTTCTTGATAGCTGAATGACATTGTTTAAGTCACTTAATTATCTTGGGCCACTATCCTGTTTCTAAACGGCTATCATGAACACTCCTTCATGGTGCTGTTAGGAAACCAGTAAAGTAGTCCAGGGGAATGCAGATAGGCAATAAATTATGTTCAGTACGTTTTCAAAATAATCTTGGTATGGAACATTGTCATAGTGCTTTTGCCTATTCAGTGGCAGTTGTTTAGTGAAACAGTGAACAAAAAACTGGGTATCAGTTAAGCAAATGCAATAGCATCCAAATAAAAGTACATGGATTTTCAAATTGTGACAGCTCATTTCTAAAAGCAAGCTGGTCACAGAGAAACAGCAATGGATCAACAGGAAAATTCCCACTTTTTCATCAGGATGTGCTTTCAATAGTTAAGATCTTATTAATGTACCTGTAAAGACTTTTTAAACAGATGCATCTTAACTTTCAAGGAGATTTCACATTTTAGAAGTGTAGAAACTTTGTTTCCAAGTTTAAGAAAATATGCATTTCTTTTCTTTATCTCCTTCCCTCCCACTCTTCCCAAGTTCAAGTAAATCCTCATAGTAACTAAAAAAAAGCACATGGTATATAGTAAAGTTCTTTTGAATATACTATAGATAGATATATAGGGAATGGAGATGTTTTAATAAGCATGACTTGTTTTCATAGCTATTCATTATCTGCCATCATGGTCTCAATTTTGATTAATTTTATCTTTTAAAATGTAATATTCATATTTAAAGGAGGAAAAAAAMYTKKTWWTTWAAAAAAATAGCAAGTCTCTTTGTTATGTGTTAGGTCAGTTCTTCAGGCTTTCATATAAGTTTATCTGAAAAAAACTCTAACTAGCCAAAAATGCTAGAACACCCTATGTCACTACCTTTAATAAGATGGCAGAAGTTTTATCAAAGAGAATTAGCTAATACAGCCTGTTTCTCCTATGGAACTAGAAATAATATTTGCAATATATTTCTAACATTTGGYTGCTGCTAGAAAGAAATGAAAAGCAAAAACCAGGATATTTTACTTCCATCTTGCTTCTTGCTGTTATATATCTTGTTTTAAATATTAAGGTTATTTTTTTAAATGGCAATAGGTTACAATGGATACATTTTCAACAGTGAGTAATTCTGTTTTCTCTTTGCTTTATATGTTTTGATATTCTTCTTGGTTTTTCTGAATAAAAAAATGCTATCCCTAGAGAATACAATMTCTGATTAATTTCCCTATTAATAGCATATATCATAATAATCCTGGATTCTTAAGGGTTTAATCTCTCATTAAAGACAGCTTTATSGAAGAATGAAATTATGGCATTTACTGGTAAATGGATAGAACTAGAGACTATCATGCAAAGTGAAATAAGTCAATCCYAAAAAACCAAAGGCCAAATGTTCTCTTTGATATATGGATACTAACACACAATGTAAGGAGGAGGAATAGAAGTTCATTGGATTAGACAAAGGGGAATGAAGGGAGGGAAGGGGACATGGGAATAAGAAAGATAGTGGAATATACTCACATGTAGTTACTTCTTTRTCTTCTCTAGGGAGAATATCATTAATGTTTCCTGCTCTTGGCCATATAAATTACGTAAAACATACATTGAAGTTTACTAATTTTAGATAGTATAGATTAAAGTGTAGCTGAAATTCAAAATGAGAAAGGATCACTGAGAACTGTAGGCATCTAAACAGAGTTCTAAGATAGAAATAATTTAGATCCACTCTATGTTAGAGAAAAAAAATTGGAATTCAAGAAATAGAAGTATCATCAAGAATGAGATTAAGAAGCTCATTCTCAAGAGACCTTAAAGGGATCAATCAAGTCATGTGCTCAGAAAAAGTATAAATCATGTTGGATGAGTGAGGGGAGCCAGATGAAAAGGGATCTCAAAGTGTGCACTCAGGACATTGAATTCACACTGGACTTTGGCATGAATTTCTCATTGGATTCTCTTTGAGTCATGCATGCATGTCTCAAGGAGGTGGGACAGGAATGGGGAGGGCAGGTATGGTATATCACAAGTGTTAGGAAGTCCTTTGCAACAATTGTGCCCATTCCTATCTTGTCGTGTGACTCCACATGACACCTTCAGGTAATTCTCAAAGCAGTGGAACCTTTGGTAATTCTCTGAGGTAGAAGAACCCTCAGTGGATTAGCAATGGTTTATTCAAAGCTCTTGTCTGGRAGTCCCTTCTCATTATCCACCACATCTTCTCATCTTCCTCCAAACAAAGGAAGAGAAAAGTAATGGGAATTTTAAAATGGGGAAARGGAGAAGTCCAAAAATCCTTTTCCTCATTTCCTAATCTTATTTTTCTCAGAGAAATAATTGTGTTATATGTGTTCTTTTTTTTATACCTCTTTGCTTTCTGAATTTGTCACATAAATAAGGGTACTTTGCAATCCAATAAATATACAGTGTACTTCAACAGTAATCTGTATTTGAAGGAATTCCTGATTGTATATCCTTTTAAAAAGATATTTTCAGTTTTCATTAGTGTTTTTTGAGAAAACTTTTAAATGAAAATAATTATATTTAATGATTTTAAGATAACTTTTATTTGAAAAACTATTATTTCCAGAAATAAGAAATATTTTACTCTAAAATTAGCTATAGATTTGTTGTTATGTTAGTGCACATTATTGAATTCTACACTGATTCATATTTGCTATCTAATCTCTATTATCAGATCTTCTTAACTTTAAAGTCTAGTTTGGTACACATTCAATAGTGATACATTTGAATGTTCCTGAGTCTTCTCTTCAGTTGCTAGTTACAAATACACCCTGATATTTTATTAGTATATATTGAGCTCTTGGCTATATTTTAGATTTATTTCTTTTCCTGATATATTCTTTAGTTACTTTTAGTCCCATCTCTAGCCTCATTRCCCTACACCCACCCAATAGACTTTTGTATCCTTAGTTTCTGTGTTTTATATCCTTCTATTTTATAGGTGCCTTCTTCTCATAATACCATTAGTTAGATGTTATGATAACTATCATMATTTTCAGGGTCCTTATCCTATCTCCAGTTTTCTCCTTATTTCTTTACAGATTTATAACTCTCATATAAGTGATACAAGAACTACTAACCAAAAAGTGGCCTTTAGTATACAAGATTGTGCAACACAATAGATAGATTTCCACATCTGGATAAAAGATGTGTGTGTGTGTGTGTGTGTGTGTGTGTGTGTGTGTGTGTATTTTTTCCTCCAAATAAACTACAGGGCAGGATAGACTAGTGTTGATTACTTAGTATAAAGAAAAACTAGCCTGGTGCACTGGCATTCACCTGTAATCCCACAGCTCAGGAGGCTGAGACAGGAATTCAAAGCCAGCCTCAGCAACTTAGCAAAATTCTGTCTCTAAATAAAGTATAAAATGGGCCAGGGTTGTGCTTCAGTGGTTAACTGCCTTTGGATTCAATCCCTGGTACCACCATCCCCCCATCCCCACCAAWAAAAAKAAAAGAAAACTAAACTAGTCTACATTACTTCAGGACTCTGGAAGTTTTGCTTCAAATGACAAACATATCATCTGATAAAGCCACTAAAAAGTTTTCTTAGTTTCCTATGTCATATTGATTTTGTCATGTTAATACCAAATAATAAACATCTATTTTCCCTAGGTTTTGCTGGCACACCTGGATATCTTTCTCCAGAAGTTTTACGTAAAGATCCTTATGGAAAACCAGTGGATATGTGGGCATGTGGTAAGGAATCATATTTTCAAAAAAATATTGCATTATCCTCATGTATTAATGTTTAGGGGCTATTATAACAAACTATGTGAAACTGGATAGCTTAAACAGCCTATATATATTTCTTGTAGTTCTAGAGGCCGGGAAGGGCAAGATTGAGGTGCTGCAGATTCAATGTCTGGGAGGACCTGCTTCTTAGTTTGTAAACAGCAATCTTTTGTGGGGGAAGATCTCATATGTTGAAAGGGATAACGGAGCTCTCCTGGGTTTCGTTCACAAGGCACTAATTSCATTMATGAGGTCTTCAGCCTACCAAAGGTACCACCTCCTAATACCATCACAGTATATGAATTTAGGGAGTCCCTAAATATTCATTCTCTTGTTTTAATTTAAAGTCGTTATCTTTTACTTGAAGTTGATACTCTCCAATCATCAGTTCAGAATTTCTTAGGAGAGATTCTCAAACCTTTGCCTACAACAATAAATCTGGAGATCTGATTAAAACTTCAGATTGCTGTTTTTCTGAACCAATATGTTTGGGATGGGAACAYTGACATTTTGAACAAGTTCTCAGGTGATACAAATGCGTAGGTCCTGGGCACACCCGCCATTGGGGTCATGTGTTCATGCTCCCATCCTCCCAACAGATCCAACCAGCTCTTCCAACAAATGTCATGTTTTCCCAAGAAGCCTGGCAAGGATAAAATAAATCTCAGAAAATAATGAAATTGGCCATCCTCTGGGGACTGAGCTCTGTTTTAGGCCTTTATCAGCCAAATCTAATCCAAGAAGTGTCCTGTACAGACTCAAAAAATATGTTACTGGCAGTATTTCCACTTAAGTTATATAATGGAATTTCTTCATTTCAGAATATATGAAAGACTGAAATAAAGGGGATATGACAGGACACTCTGAAATAGTTTTCTACTAAGGTTATCAACACAAATTAGTCCTCTAAAGTTCTTGAGTTTCATTGCATCTGGTCTATAAGTAAGTATTTAACTACCATAGTTTGGCMCTAGTGTGCCGTAGACAGATTCCATTTCCTTTGGTTTGTCAGCATGGAAGGAGTTGATTTTTTTAAGTTATTTCTAGATTCTGAAAATAACTTATTAGATTTGCTTTTAATTTTAAATAGAAAGAAAAGAAGTTCATCACGCCTACTTCATAATGATAGATAATCCCAGCCTGTATTTCTTATCAGTTTTATATGCTTAGAAACAACAACTTAGTATTTAATCTTAAACTTGAGTTTTCAGAATTAGCTCTATGCCTATGAAGGCAGTTATGAGCAAAGAACTATATTATTAGTCACCACACCTGAGTTTTAAGTCTTTATACCTATTCTTCCTGTCTCTTTAATATCTCTGTGCTGGTTTCTTTACCTGTAAAATGATATTATCCAGTGGGAGGGTCAAATAAGGCACACTTTAAAGGAAAACATGTTGTAGCCTGTAAAGCAATTTAAAATGCAAACAGCCATTATTGTTCTRCAAGATTGGAAATGGCATGTGCTTTAAGGATAAGGTCTTAGGTGGGTCCAAGTTCTGTCTTTCTTCTGCCTACCTGAGTAGCTGCTCAGCATGAACTCTCAAATGCCTTTGAGTTAGAGCACTTTTGCAAAATGTTGTTGTCCAAATCTAAGTGCTTATGGCAGATGGCTGGAATATTTCCCTTGCAATAAATTAGCTCCCCGCACAGGTCTGTTTCTGCTGACGACCTTAAAAAGCAGCAGAATGGCCCTATAGTCAGGCAGACAGTGATGGGTTTTGTGGAAGGTAGACTCATATTTTTAAACATATTTTAAAATGTGATAGAGTCATATTACTGTGAGGTATAGAGGGGTGTAGGTAGAATGTTGTGTTTGGACTCTGAATACTAAAGAGAGAGAATGGTATGATTGATGAGTAATTAGGAGAAGGAGGACTGGCATCAGGGCATTTCATGGTTTTTCTTTGCCTGCTTGTCTGAAGGTCATTTCCAGCCTCCCCTGACCTCCTCCTTTATCTCCTTGTTTTCCTAGTTTCCTTCCTATTTTCTYCCTGCATTCCTCCTATCTGCCTCATGGGTAGGAGAGGTAGGGATAGTGGTGAAGAAAACACACTTGCTGTATGACATAGTTCAACTTATTTAGTCTCTGCATTGCAGCTTCCTCTGATGAACGGAATAATATTTTCCCATAGGATTGCTAAGATTTATTTTAAGACATGTGTTAGTTACCATTACTATTATTACTACAAAGTATTTCTTTAGAAATGAAGATTCTAGATAACTGACATTTCGCCTTAGTATAGATTTGAAAAACAAATTTTATTGGATGACTTAACATTGCCAGTATGATAATCAGCTGAATATTATGATGCTCTTAGCTGAGCTGATTAACTAAAAACCAAATTCACATTCCCTCCCCATTATCCTC